CTCGAGTCGCCACAAAACAATATCTATAATTCATCAGCATTCAGTTAGCATCCCTTCGATTTGAAATCACATTTTCATGACCATTGTACCTACGCTCAATCGCAAGAATCATAAATTAGATTTCCTCCAAAATTATCTTGCACAATTCCCCTCACATCCATGCAAGCGCTGTTCCAAAAGGGTGCTGGGTGCTCCTTATGAGCAATTCTGAGTGAATAGGGCCTGATTTTGATGAAGGCTATGATGATCACTCCATTCAGGCCAAGAAAGGAGGAAATAAAACATCTTCATACCAAGAGCTCTGTTAATCAGTGTTGAGAAGGGAATAAAAAGGCATTCAATCTTACTTTCTCTGGCCTTCGGGGCTACTCCTTAGAACTTAAAGGACAATAGAAGTGAAATTCTGCTCTAAAATATTAAGCTATAGGCGAGAAAGTAAAATATACTGGGTCCTTTGCTGGGAGATTTGCCGTGCTCCTTAATCTGAATTTGTTACACTGACGTACAACTCTGCAGAGAATAAATTGTAAAAGGTAGAAAAGGTCACTGTGACAGAATCCAGGATGACTTTCTCAGAATAAGGGGGTAATTTCTGATTCACAAAGTCATCTATTCACTGCTAACGGAGTGGCTCCACACTGTATATCAGTATGACATCACAGGTTTGAGGCTTGACTCTTCAATTTGTTCAGGACAGAATCTTTCATTCCACTTATTCTGCAACATAATAACTAACAGAAATGTTAGTTTCAGTGGGATTCCAAGCCAGGATCGTATTTTCCTACACTTGTCTGTGAAGACGTTTGACCCGAACTGCTGCAGAATTATAGACATTTCTACATTAAGTCTGCTGGTGTGAGAAGTCAGCCGGTTCAGAATGGTCATATGACATGCATTCACCGTGAGAAAAATAATTTGAATATTCAATTAATTTCAATTCAGTTATATTTGTATAGCGCTATATATATGTATGTGCTCGTGAGTCAGTACAGAAACGAGAATCAAAAGCAAGTGATGACAGAAAATGAAAGTATCGTCGGCGTCCACCCACCTGTATTGGTTAACAACCTACTGGCTCCAGCTTCATGTAGAATGGATGTGTGAGTGGTATTGGTCTCATCTAACTCTCAAAAAGAAAGGGAATTTCCTATAATGTTGAACTTTATTTAAGATGCCTTCTTTTCCTTGATTTGACTTGCTCTGATGAACGTAACATGTATTTCAGTTGACACATTTAACCCAGCCTCAGTACCAAGGCCTATTTCCCTTTACTTTGCAAAGTAAAAGAAATCAATAAATAAAAAAAAACCACAATTCTATTTAAAAAAGATTTTGTTTGGCATAAAATAATGCCAAAGGTCAAAGGTGCTGCAAATGTGTGCAAAAGTTGATGAAAAAAGAGCAGGTTTTTGGTCTTCGAGATATATAAATGTAAAGTTAGTAATGGAAATATTCTCAGAACATTGCACTTGTTGTTCATTAAAGTAGCTCTTCTGTGAGTGACTGTACCAGCAGTGGCCCCAAGCCAATTTGTGAGAGTTTGAGACCCCTGCTCTAGACTGAAATATCTTAACAACTACTGGATATATTGGCCCCAAATATAGACATTCGTGAACCCCAAAGGATAACTCCTAATCAGTTTAGTGATCCCCTGACATTTCCTTTAGCTCCACCATGAGGTTGACATTTGTGATTTCGAGTGAAACAGCTATTGATTTAGGTTTATGACTAAATATCTGCAAAACTAATGACCTTCCCATCAGACTCAGCTGTACTTTGTGTTCAGTTTTTTAGCAAATGCTAGCATACTAGTTAAACTATGATTGTTTTTTTATGGTAGCGTGTTAACACTGTCTTTGTGAACATATTAGAATGCTGACGCTCACATTTAGCATACTGTAACTCAAAGCACTGCTGTGCTTAATGCTGAGTTCCAACCAGGAGGTTGGGAAGCTGGGAATGATGTCACACCCGGGTTGACCGTGTTCCAGTACAATAAGTTGGAAAAACCAAGCTCTAGCAAGGTTCATTGTTAGCAATACCAGTTGCTAACAATGCAGCCCACAGATAGAAGTTGGAGAGCGCTGTGTGTACGACTGATTTAATGAGACACAAAAGACAGAGGTGTTAACAACCTTTCTGTTACTACAGCTTTCACTACTGTTGATGTGTGGAGTAGTCATCTTGGATTTTAAGTCAGGTTTGGGAAGGCTCACCCAACTTCATGAGTCAAAAATCCGCCTTCTGGGGGCGTTCCAGTTGAAATATCGAGTTCAAATGGAACGCACCATTAGTAGAGCCTTACAGAGCTGCTGGCATTGTTGTAAATTATTGGTCTTGTTTTATCATTCGTTTTTTGTGACTTCTAAAACTCATACAAGTTTTTTGAAAAGCTTTCGGGACACTGGGGAAGAGAAAAAACCCTGCAGGACTGTAAGGATGAGACAAAGCCATGCTGCATTTCAAAAAGGAGTAAAGGAAATATAGCACATTATCTCAGATGTCCCCTAACAAAAGCCTGGAGCTGTCCCACTGTGTCACACAGCCAACTCTGCCCACTCCACTCAAGCATCCTGTTCCTCAACACTGTGCTTCTGGGGCCAGCCACACTGAGCGGGGACTCAGAGAAGCATTTGAAAACATCTCTTCAAGTACTCTGTCAGAGGATCTGAGAGACTTTGATAATATAAGGCAGGGGCTTGCACTCACTGACAGCTTGATTCTTGTCTGAGAAGAACAGAACAGAACAGCGCTTGAGGACAGGGGCCCAGGTCCTCTGTCTGGGAGACATATTGATGCACCTACCCTCAGATGAAGTCCTCACTACAATCAAATGCAAATGATATAAGATTCAAAGAAAGATTCCAATCGATGGCTGTTTTTCTGAGAACTACTGTATGAAATGTTCCCGCCAAACAATCAATGATTCAACCTCAAACCAGAATGTGGTTGAGGTGGTTCACACTCCTTTGCAGCAAAATGCAGTTAGATCTGGGGCAGGCTTGTCTTTATGTGATCATCTTTATTGTGCCTTAGCTAATGAAAACTCAAGAAAGCTTACACCATCTGCTGCATCTGCTGGGTAAAACAACACAGTCCGCACACAAATCTGAAATAAGAGTGCATGCAGCACAAACCTGGGACTGTGCTCAGTGTGTGCATTATTTTGTGACTGTGAAGCAGTCAGATGTGCAGCAGACTACATGAATTAGCCTGTATGCATGCCTGTTTGACTTTGGTGATTAATGATGCCAGCATCGGTGCAAAGAAATGATCCCATGATATTCTTATCGTGGGTTTCTTGTTTTTATTGTGAGTTACTCTTTCTAAATGATGTTTCTTTCCATCTGTGATACTTTATATTTTTCTTTTATCTGTTTTACTGAGGATGCTCTGGTGGGTCTGTTTCTGCCAAACTGTATGCCAAATCTACCATACGAACAATAAAGAAGTGAACTTCCCATATGTGCTCCAAAAAATCACAATGAAATATGAATTATTGACTATTAAAATACATTTAGTAAGTAATATTAAAGATAATACAGTCACTAAATGCATTAGTCTAACTGAAGTTCCATCATGCTGACTTCATATACCCTACATGCATATATGTGCGAAGCCAGCCAAACCAACTGAGCAAAGCACCTTCAAGGGGCTTGGAGGCTCCAGGTTCAGTTTGAGGGGCCTCATTGTCAGCATTTTTACATACTCAGGGCCTTTCTTGAGGAGGGGCCCCGAGTTAAAGCTGCAGTAGGTCGTTTTTAT